CATTATATACGTATCGATCCGACGTAACGGACGAAACCGACGAAAGCTGCGTAACCGACGTTTTCGACGTCAGTCGATACGTATCTAATCTTCTGTCGTCGGTTACGTCGATTACGTCGACAGTGGATCGATACGTATCTAGTCTCTAGTCGTCGAAAACGTCGGTTACGCAGCTTTCATCGGTTTCGTCGGTTACGTCGGATCAATACGTATTTCGTCTTCGTGAAGTAGTCGCAGAAAACGTCGGTTTCGTCGGTTACGTCGACGTTGACGACGACGTCGCACAGTATGAACGCAGCCTCAGCGTCCACCGGCGCATAAGAGAGTATGAATATCGATCTGACGAACGCCAACGTCCACCAGCGTACTGCAGCATTTTCGCGGGCAAATTTGAACTTGAAGAAAACTGGGCGCAATAACGCCGCTGTACGCAGTGGACGCTGGCGTTTGATATAATAAATCGATACCTATACTTTCTTAGTACCTCGAGACGCACGGGACTGATGCAAAGTATGACGCAGCCTCAGGCTCTCATCGTCTTTGGCGAGTGTGGGGAATCCGCGACTGGTGGGAGTGTAGAGTCACTCCTCTCCTGTTTTGCCGATTCCTCAGATCAATGCGTATAGAATCCTTTGCGATTTTGACAATTCGCGAACTCTCTGAACTTGCATACGCTCCACGACCGCAAAGCATGAGAGCAGATTCACCTTTTTCTCGTTGTCCACTCTCGGTTTATGAATGTGTTTGGAAGATTCGCGAGATTTGTCTGGCAGTTTTGAGCCCTCGAGGATCAAGGAGTACTCGACCCAATGCGGAGCGTCGAAATTACCCATTCCGCATCAAGGTGAGACGATTTTGACAGAGTCACACTACTGAAACGTTTTCCAATTATTTTTGTTCTGCAGAGAGGTTCCTATCGATATCGGCATCCCAAGCGAACTGGGCAGTTGTGCAACATTTGCCGCCAACTTTTCCCTGTATTCACTGATTATGAAGCTCACATTCAAAGACGGTTGCTGCTCAACTGATACACCTCCAGATCCTGTCCCTATCCATGTAAGTGTTACTAGGCTCTGCTATATAAGGACATTTCCACAACAAATATCTGAGTAGGGGCTATGATGCGCGAACCAGTTAGAATTCCTAGCTAGTTGGCTCGACACAACACTGTGACGTGAAATGAATCAATTAGATGGCAGCTTAAGTAACTCAGTTCATTTCATGGCTCTCTCTCTCTCTCTCTCTCTCTCTCTCTCTTCTTTCTCTCTCTCTCTCTCTCTCTCTCTCTCTCTCTCTCTCTCTCTCATAGCACGGTATAGTATACTGTGCTCGTGTTCAATGAGTTTGCGAGGTGGACTCACAAAATCGGTGCCAATTTTATAAGCTAATTAGCCGGTTTTGAATACATCACGTGCCGCTAAGCGTTGTTGGAGAGGGGAGCGTTCACAGCGACGATTCGTGTTCTATAATTTTAGAGCACACTTTGGAACCGTCACCGTTTTTGACCGGTTTGGAAAGAGCTATAGGTTGACGTGCGCGCGACAAGCGCCAGCAATATGGCTCAAAATGCTGAGCACCCGGTCGACGCCTTAGTTCTTCTAGTCCCTCGGGAATGCTGCCATACACTGAAAGCGCCTCGCCGTAACAAGTCATGAACATACTCTAAGGCCTACGAACAGGACGAGCCACAGGGCAGCGAGACACAAAGGCTCTCGATCCTCTCACCCCTCCCCATTGTACATTAGCGCTCACATATAGAACCCGACTGCTGACAGTGTTCTCTTCGAAGCTTTCTAGGAAGAAATGCAGTTATACTGCTGAGTTCTTCGAGCATAAGGCTGGAAAGTAACACGGGCAAGTGGCCTAGCCAGGCAATGATATGACGATCGACACTGCTCTGGTGGTGCCGACGGTAAACTATTAGAAATTATAGTTGGCTGCGACGCGTGACCTCAATACCATCCAACAAGTAGTGAAACTCGGGTGGTGTAGCATTGAGAATTGTCCGGTGTGGAGTGGTGGGCGTGGTCTGCGACTTCATTGCGGCGAGAAGACAAAGCATGCGTGTGGCTTTGAATAGGGATATCGAAGGGTCGGTAAAGACTGATATCACGCAGGATCGTGTTGTGTTCGGTTACGGTTCAGTTTTTGATTTTTTTTGTTTTTTGATTCACACAGATAGTGGAAAACTTTTATTAGGAGCACTGAAATTCAGGTCTCTTATAGAAGGTTTGCCTGTCTTCGAGCAGAACTCACAGTGCATAACTTGACCACTATCTATCCCAAATCGTGACGCTGACCGATTGCGGCCAAATTCAATGCGAATCACAAAAAACGTAGGCAGAGCCTACTGCCTTGTTTGTTTTGTGTATTTTGTCCTTACTCTTCCTCGAAGTTCGCGCCTGTGAATCCGCCAACAATTGTGTCAGTTACCTCATCTCGAAGAAAATATCCTTTAGCGTTTTCAGTTATATGATGGGAGCCTGGTAAATGTTGCGGATGTATACTGTAATGCACATCGCGCCAACACTTTACCAGGCTCCATCAACTAAGAGTCGGGACGTTCACAGATCGTGTCCTTTTAACTTTACAGTCTGCGTTCCGACTCAAATCGTCTAATTCAGCAGCTATATGCAGAAGCACAATGCCACTTACGTGAAGCTGCTGCGCAATCTCGCCCGGCGCGCGCGCGCCCCCTGCGCGAGGCGCATTGCCCCGACCGATTCATCGTTGCGCCGCGTCTCCACGATGCGAACTGTAGGTGCAGTTAACGCTTTCTGTCAACGGATGATTCTCTTTACTGCGAGGGCCGTTGATGGACGTTTTTCACCGGACTCCACTGGCCGAACTTGAAGGAGTGAGACAAATGAGTGACAGACGAGAAAGCAAAGGAAGAGCAAGACAGAGAGGCGGAAAGAAATGCGAATTATTAAGAGGAAAGGAAGAAGGAAGAGGAAGATAAGGAAAGGAAGAAGGCGACGGTAGACAAATATCCTAGTTCACCCTGGAGGGCATAACACGTGCAGATGTTGAAATACTTCTGATTTTTCTTTTTCACAGATGTCCGACTCGGGTAACATTCCACTAAACTACGATCTCTCGCCTATACCTAAGTGTGAACGGCTGCAAAATCACGGGTAATGATTTGTTCTTTGTGTCACGATGATCGATTTGCATCGGTGACAAAGTTTCATGAGCATATAATCGATTGTGCAAGAAAATTGGCTGCTTGTAGTGAGTATTGATTCTAACGTGTCTTTTTTGATCGTCTGCAAACTCACGGATTTCTCAGTTGTTGTATTTTTGTTCGTGTTTCGTTTCATTTTGTACATATCGTAGATTGTGCCATTATGCAACACTCGACATTCCCTTCTTTCAGGCTTATCGGTTGAGGATAGAGTTGAAGTTTCTTGCTCAGTTCTGTTTATACATACTATATATAAATTCATATAGACTACTGTACAGTAAAGTAACAAGGAACGGATGAACAGCTTTGCTTTCTCATCGACCGTCTGCTCGATGCGTGGCGATAAGATTAGCCTGCATAGGTACAGAATTCCTCCATCACTTGGAAGTGGCCGCCAAATGTCTGTAAATAGATGAGCTTCTCTTGAAGGCGCGCCCCGGGTTCAAATACTATTAAACAGATAGTAAACGATATAGTGGTGAAGAAAGAAAAGCAGAGAAAAACACTCGAAATGCCTCTGGGGAGTCCCATGCGAAACAGCGTTGCAAAAAAATAAAGCGAAAAGGGGCGTGGTCGGACGAGTTTGTTGTTGCCAGCTCCCCTGTCCTTATCACCTCGCTCTTACCTTTCAAAATCGAGCGAGTTTGTAGAGGAACAGCGCACCATCGGGTAGGACTGGAAACTGAAGGGTGGAAGTCGCCGTGGTGAGCAGGTGGGACCCGGTTCCGTCACAAGCGGGCGACGTTTTCTGGCGTTGCGTTAACGAATCACAGTAAGAACCATGATAACATACAATTTCTCAGTCAGGGCACATCATTGGTTGGAGATTTTAGTCGAGTGGACCCCCGCCGCCTTTTTTTGGGGGGATCAGTACACCCCCCTCCTCCGGCCCTCTGTCCCTCCTTATCGAATTGAGTCACCGTCGAGCAGGGGAAGGGGGGGGGGGGTAGATAGCACATGTGAAATAGGACAGGAAAAACCGCGAGACAATACGACTTCCCCCCCCCCCTTCTACCAATTCTCAGATTATTTTTCCCAACTTCCTGCCACTTTTTCCAAAATTTCCTCGGAAACTTTCCTACTTTTACCCAAAAATTTTGCTGTCGAGAGGGGGGGTATATAGTACGATGAAACAGGAAAATCACGAAAAGTCAACCACCCTCCCACCTCTCCTAGAAAGACCAAAAAGTAAATACGACCTCCCTCCCAACAATGAGCAAGTACGACCCCCCCCCCCCTTTACAACGTCCGTGAAGCGAGAAAAATCAACTATCAAAATAAATTTTTCTCAGCCCAAATACGACCCCCCTCTCCTGGCGGCCAAGTACGACCTCCTGTTGGGATTCCCCAACAACGATGTGCCCTATTCTCGCAGTTTTCAAGCGGCTCACCTCAAATTCCTTGTCGGCACCTGTTATTGACGCCGTGATGCTGCCACACGTGTTGCGGTATCCGATTATTTCATCTTGCTGAGAGTAAATCGAAAAGATGTGTTGTCCTTCGTATCGTGGTCTGAATTGAGGGTAATAAGTGCTTTGTTAGTTAGCTGATATCATCGCTGTCAGGAGGGGTGGAATAGGTTCGCCTTAGGCCGCCTTTTTTACCAGTAGCGATTGTTCACTGATCAAGCAAGAAAACAGCCACAGATAGTTATAGAAAACGCTTAGGCAGCGTTCAGACTTCGCGACGGCAGCGCTTCGGCCGCGTTCGGCGCGATCGATGCGCATACTTTCTACTGCATCGATCGCGTCGAACGTGCGATCCAAGCGCTGCCATCGCGAAGTCTGAACGCTGCCTTAGGGTGGGGTCATTGCATGCCCCTTGACACTCCCCGACTGTGACGATACCAAGTGTAAATTCCAGAAAATTCTAGAAAGAATTTTCTCTTTTTTCTAACTGAAGGTTTTTTTCTGTGGAACCTCAGTGATTCCACTAGTACAGTGAAGCGGCAGACCGTACATTTCATTGATATCTTCTAGAAATTTTGATGTACAGGTAAGTCCATTGACCGGATTACAGAGCTCACCAATGGGCAGAAAACATAGATGTGCGCCACGATTCACACCTAAACGATACGTATTGATCCGTTTCACCTGTGAAAGCTTTGTTTTGCTGGCTGCGATGATAGGGCGGGTCAGTGAGGCTGGGTTTGACGCGACGCCAACCCATTCCACCAGTTGTTGAAGCAGGTAAGCGACAACACTTGATGGAAAAATTACTCGAAAAATATGACGAGGCCTTGTCGCTTGCCCACTTGAAGAACTGAGGGGGAAAAAGAATTGGCGTTGCGCCAAACATCCTCCCTGTCCGGCGCCCTCATCCGCAGCGGACAAGGCTTTGGTAAAAAAAGACTGTAGTGAAGAGTCACCAGCTACTGAGACAAATGTGTCAACGAGAGCTGTTAGAGGAGGCCCGAGGTACTCTCCTGTGTCCACGCACTTCCCTCCAAGTATTGCCTGCAAATTTGGTCTCATTTTATTCTCAAATCCTGCGGTGGCATCAGAGCAGTTTCCTGTTAAGGGAAAATTTTTAGAAAATAAGTCCTCCTCTCTTCAAATTTTCTCCTTTGGTACGGTCCTATTTCTAGCTACCTTGAATTTCCCAACTCCCAACTTTTCGCTATGTTTTCCATTTTTTTTCAAAAATCTGCCATTGACAGTGGGGATCAGCCAACAACTACTGAGTTTAATTTAATTTTTGAGAGAAATAGTTGTGAAGAACTGTGGCGGCGCCACTAACTATGGGGAGGCTAGAGGTTGGAGAGGGAATCACAGGCCTTTTGACTAGATTTTTAATATAGTAAAACTATGTCTCATTCGTTCAAGTTGTAATGAGCACCTTTCTTGAGATAGGAATCACAGGGCTTTTAACTAGATTTTTAATATAGTAAAACTATGTCTCATTTGTTCGAGTTGTAATGAGCACCTTTCTTGAGATAGGAGATCCCATAGAGTATCCAATTATATCTACTCGTCCGTTCGTGTACGCTGCTACTGCTTGTATGAATGACCGGATCTGGAATAACATAAATTTGTTAAGATGGTTGAAGGGTATAACTTGAAGGGCTAGAAGCTCACATATGAATTGTCTGAAAACCATTGTTGTTGTTGCACAGGCCATGAAAGGCGCAGTGCAGTGTGGTGGCAGGAAACTGAAGCCACCTACCACGCGTACTTAAGAGGTCCAGTCTTTACCAAGTTGCCTTCGGCTCAAGAACCGTCCAACCTTCCGAGATTGGCTACTTGGAACTGAACAGACCTGGATAGTTCATTACGCTGAGCAGGTGAGCACACTGGTTTATGCCTTAGCTGCATTCATTCGCCGATTGGGTAATGGGAAAATAGCTACAGCAGCGTGTCTCTTTCTCCGCTCGGAAGTGCGGAGCTGAATGGTAAAAGTACCCCTGGCCTTCATTGCTCACCCATTCTACGGCAGGGCCAACTATTAGGTTGGACGGAAAGTCCTGCGACACTTTGACCAAATTTTCGGACCAAATTCGTTTTCACTAAAAGACACCTTCAATCTACAAGGTAATCACCATTAATGACTAGGACTAGTGCCCATCTTTTGCACAGCTTCTCATTTCCATTCTCATAGAACTACGGCAACTATGATAAAAAGAAGAGGTGGACCTCATTTTCGAGTAGACGTCGATTTTCGGAATTTTTGCTTCTAAAGGATGCGGTAGGGATCAAAGGAGGTGGTAATTAGAGGCTGCTAACTTTGTGATAAATAAGCTGGGTACGGTCGCATTCTCTGATCGAGATCCATGATCTTTTGGCGTAGCCTGATCCCCACATGCGGTCTTCGCATTGCCGAGTAGTAGAGAAAAATTGAGTATTTCTGAATGAATTCAAGCGTGACGTCATCCATATTTTGAAGTCGATTAGGTGGACTGTGGTCCTTACAACGGTGCTAGTATCCAGTGATACCGCTTTGAAGTCCCACCAATAACACACTGAAATCTTTATCCCATGCACATCTGCTTTTGGCTGTGCAATCTACTTTTCTCCTTGAGAGATCCTTGCGAGGGATGTGTGCATCATTTACGCAAGGGACTCCAACACTCGCTAACAACCACAAGATCTCACAAATGTTGTCCCAGTGTGTACAGGCACACGAAAACTCAGTCACGGTCATTCGGTGCTCTTCGTCAGACGGGTCCAACTCATGAGGCATCCTTCATAAAAAATATCCCCGATAGCCGAGATTGCGGAGGCAGTTATCAGTCAGCTAGAGCTTAGAGAGTGTCAACTTACTGATGGTTACGTTCGGCTGCGCCTCAGGAGACTTGAGTAAACGGCCGTCACTCTGCGTTGGTGGCTGACTTATGCATTGCCTACTTCCAAATTAAATAACTCCAATTCTCAAGCGCTGATACAAACGGGGCAGGGCATGGCCAGCGACATCCTTCTTCGGAGGAAACGCAGGTGGTAGCTCCCTCGACTACGGCTGAGTGGCCTTACAGGAGCTCATATACATGGGCATAAGTCGAAAAAGTACCTGGTCGATGTCTGAGGGGCATTCGAGCCTTCGCGAACCTCGAAAGTTTCCGCAAAGTTATGAAAGTTATGATATACCCATTTGCAGGAAACCCAGAGGACATTATCCTTTAATTAGGGATGAAAACACTCAAAATAAATTTTGGTTTTTTCCTAGAACAATTCAGTCGCAGGACTTTTCGTCCAACCCAGTAAATGCCTAGCTATAGCCAAAGGCCCCATTTGTCTGCTCCCTTCACTTCCGGCCGTTCTCTGTCGCGGAGTGCGGGTTTCCTCCGGGACGTTGGTATCAACGCAAGCTGCACCTTGAGGATAGCGCGGGTGGAGTCGGGAGACGGAACCCTACAACACTCTGCAGCCTTGTTCTTGTGCACTTTTGAGTAGACAAAAAGCCACATTAGTGCAGCCATTCACCGGACCAAGATCCACGGAGCTGATTGTGCAACCTGCTTCCAAGCAGGGGGCAGAAGAGCTCAGAAGTATTGACATAAAGCATAATCCCTGACTTTACCTGCTTGACGTACTCGCATTTCATGTTGTCCTGATTCAAGAGTGTCCTTGCGCCATTCCCATACGTTGTCCCATAGACATCCGATTTATTCCATCCTATCTGTAATCGCTGGCGTTATTTACTCTTTACTGCCCCATTACTCAAATTTTAGACCGGATTTTGGTCAAAAATTGAGGCAGAGTTGACTTTTTCTGGATGATTTTGATCGATCAGAGCACGAAAATCCCCTATTAGCAGCTCGAACTCGTGCCACAAAGTGCCGACGCCGGAACCTTATTGTAGAGACACTAAATATGCTGAACAATTGTCCCAGGATGTATTATATTTGACGTTTGATCACGAAAATCACAGTGAAAGGCCCACGTGTGCTACAGGCGCCGGCGCTGGCGTCTGGCGTTTTCGCTTCGTTGAGCGATTAAAATCGGGGGCAAAGATTCAACCAAATCTACTGCTGAAGTTTCTTTCTATAAAAACATGAACTGGTCTTCGCAGATCGGGGCACTAGGGTATCTAGTGCCACTTTTTGAAACATACTTCGTGTTCAACTCACATATTTGGAGCTAAAAGCTGCCGCTAGAAGGTATTGCCGCTGGACATCGAGGGTGCCTGCGCTGCCAGTAAGCCCATGAACGAGCACGACGCTTTGTTTCCTGAGAGTCCTCACTTTTTCGCTGGACCATTTTCTATCTTTGAAACTTTCCCTTCGTACACGAATGAAATAACTGATAAATAAATACAAAGAAGTTGTGAATAACACAAACTCAACACTGTGGTGAGATTTTCTCTACAGGACCCAAGAAGTAACAACCGTTGAGAAAAATCAGAACGTCGCGAGAAATACGAGAATACCTATTGTTTTCTCCGCCACTAATGGACCATATCCACCTTCCGATAACTTTGCATGCGCGGACCGATGTCATTCCTAGTCATACGATCAGCGAATTCCTAAACTATAATTTCAAGAATCAATGACACTTGAGCGACAAGCATCTTGGGCAGCGTTTCGAGCTTTCGAGCGCTTTAACACGTGTTTAAGCGCCTTATAGCGCTCTACAGTTACAAGCGCGCACTTCGCTACGTTCCTACCCCAAAACTCACAATTGTTTTTGCCTGAAATTCATCTATTACGGGGAATCCGGAGCCTGATCACGAATATGACATTACTTTTAGAGCGTGGCGCCATCTGGCGCCACTGGTCACTAGTTTGTCGCCACCATCTTTCTCACTAAAGTTGATGAAGTCTTGTATACGAAGGTTAATTGACGTCCTGATCAGGGTATGGCATTTATTTTTCACGTCGGCCCCCACACCGTTTGACCCAAATCGATAAACTTGCTTATAAGGATCGCTTGGGCCCTTGATGAGGATACTTATTGTACTTATTTTTGACAGCAAGCGCCATCAAGCGCTCTGCTAGCTGAACCTGTGTGGAGCAGTGATCCCCTTCATGCGAGGTTCTGCTCTAGCAGAGCGCGAATGATCGTAGCGTCTTCCATTAGCGCCGGCGCTAGGAGTAAGTGTCATATTCGTAATCAGAATGCCAAATAACCCCCTATATATCGGTTTTCTTCAAATTTGGTGATTCAAGGTGTTTTCCTGTAGTGCGCGCAAGGCGGTTCCATGCAAACCGGATGTGATCGTCTTGTTCTGGCGGTTAAACTAACCCTAGAGACAAGTTTTCATCGATTTTGGTGATTTTGATCTTATGCCGCCGACGTCTTCGGCGCTGGCGCCAGGCGGTTTCGGGCCAAGCGGATGTGATACTCATGTTTAGGAGGTCTTTGACGGTAGCAAATGTGACGAAGGGCCGCTTCGCCCAGTCTCCTGCAACTTTTGAGCGGAGAAGTGGGCACGCTTATGGCAGCTGTGGATCCGAATCAGCCCTTGACCAGCGCTGAGTCCAGCCATAGGGGCAAGGAATCAGCGTCCAAGGAGGTAAGGGTGCAGTTTGTCTTCAAATGGCTGTACAGGCTCATATAATGGCATGAGGGTGTGGTATTGTCGACCGCGGGCGGTTTGGAGTGGCACAGAAGGAGTATTGAATGGGATTGGGTCAATTGTTTTCGCTCTTAATTCGGGAGCTGGTATTTGGTAATATTATTTGCACTTCGCAGGGTTGCCCTTGAAAAGGCAGGCTGTTGTTTGTAAAAAAAAATCTATTCAGAATAATAGATATGTCTCTTCCAGCGATTAGTACTTTTTGTGAAGTTTATGAGACTGTCTCTCCGTCACTAGCGACCATTTTATAAGTGCATCTGCTGATGACAGATTAGAAATTAAATTATTTACCACAGTGCTCTTTAAATCTACCAAGAAAATTCGCATCTAATTTTCAGAAGTAGACGCCACTTTAGTCCCGTGATTTATTTTGGCTTTATGGCCTCCCTATTTGTTGGATTAAAAGACTAATGAAGACAACGGTAGGCCATCGTTGGTTGTAGGTAATCACTGCGGGGTTGTATATTGACCGCGAGGGGGCGGGGCTAATAAGCGCATGGCACATTTGTGAAGTAGGGAGTGCAGCGATACTCAGATGTCGTTCAGCTCTAATGGTGAAAGACTCATCCATGCGAGGAGCACCTGAAGAAACACCTGAAGGCAGAAACAACCTGCAAGCTCAGAACTGGGGAACGGGCGATAAGAGGAAGAACGATGTCCGCTCACAACAACGTCATGAACTAATAAACATATGAAAGTAGACGTTTTTCTGATCACTGGAGTGCACTGCTTGTACGGAGGAAGCTCTACCTAGAAGTTACACCTTCCCAACACCTCTGCGTGGGAGCCGTATGCATGGCGCATTACTGATGTGAAGCCAAGCGAGCGCCGCCACCGAATGAATTCTCCTGATTACCCCTGGTGAAAATATTTGTCTTAGAAGCTAGCTAAGTCATTAAACGTAACAGGAAGTCGGTTATGACGCGAAGCGATGGGTATTTACGTGGTCGCCCGAAAGGATTGGCGTCCACATCACAACAGGGGTTTTTTTCGAATAGCAGACTTAGAAAAAAAAATGAAAACTCTTGTTAGAAAGTAGAAATCTAGATCCCGGCACTGCTTTCTTTTTACAAATGGCTCACTGTATGAAATTGCTCATGGGTGTTCAAAGGCTGTTCATGTAAGCGTAGGAATTCGTAGGTGACCCTCAAATTTCCCAGCGAGGCCACAACGGGGAAGTTCCTTGAAAAAGAGATTTTTCGAAGTCGCTTAAACTACAGTTGCCTGTCTAGTGGTTTACAACCCTGTTTTCTTCTCTTCAAACTCCTCTCTCAAAGAAGGTATGGGTATTCAAGCGAGGTAGCTCGCTCCAGAACCACAAAGCGTGCTCTAACTGCAAAAGTGGGTGGCTGCGAAACTTAATAGTTCGAGAGCTCGCTTATGCATTTCCCGTCTTTTTCATCCTTTTTTTGTGTGTCTAACTACGGTCATTTGTCAATGTTCTGCATCCTTTTTTTTTTCTTATTTTCTTCATATTCTTCATTTATCCGGGATTATCGCTTGGCGCCTTTTTCTTTATTTTCGCTATCTGTCATAACTTTTTCGCCGTTTGTCACTTTTCCAACTTGCTGGCGAATAATGCCACATGAAGACACAAGCACTTGATACTGTTCCATATAGGGCCCGAATAATAGCATGATAAAACACTTCTAGATCGGCCTTTATGCGGCATGAATCTGTCAGCAACCAGCTGTTCATATGGTAGCAGATCACGATTACTTGCTGGCATAACATCGTTTACCTGCTGCCAGCATAGTTGCGGACAGGAGGGGTCGTATCGAGACCCCTTTGCGGGGATGTATTTAGCAGGACAGGAGGGGGTTGTATCGAAACCCTTTTGCGGGGATGTATTTAGCAGAAGTTTTATCAGAAACGCATGGCGTGCCTGAAATGAAAAGAGCAGACTTCAAATATAAGGGAGGGGTAAACAAATCAGAATCGTAGTTGCTTATCGAAGCATCGAGCCGATTGCGCCTGTTAGCGGTATCCACACGGACGTTAGCTAGGTCAGTGTTGGTCACAACATTCAGATGCCATATCGTTGTGCATTTTATCGCGCGCCAGTTTATTTGTTATACGAATGGGAAATCTACAGGGCAATCGTAAAAACAGGTGGGCAGAAATAATTGAGTCGTTAGATGATGATGTAGTACCAATGTGTTGTTGGAAAGTATGTGTGTTAGCACGTTCCGGACCGCGTGACATACATCGTGTGTCATATATTTCACATGCGAAAGTGGAAAAGGAAAAAAGACCAGATGGATCATTCCTCAACTTGAAGTAGTACGAAAGGGAGGCTGACAAGGGAGGTCGTTCAGGCCGTGGTGAGCTTTTTCAAAACGATTTGTTGCATGTTGTAGGGGTCCATACAAGGACCACACAGATGGGTTTCATTTTTGCTAAACGCTATTGGGAATGTCAAAAAAGGAATAAAAACAAATCGCTTAAAATACGCAAGTTTTATCATCTCATTCGCATCTGTTTCAGCTGTAAAGCAGAATACATAGAGTTTATAAAGTGTTCCTCAACTAGACATGAAAAACAATATTGAATAAGGTCGAAATTGAAGTGCTTTACTTTGCATACAGTGAGGTACACTGCAGTTTCTTTAGGGGCTTATGCAGCATCCCTTCGCGCTCGCAGTGGCCTTTTAGCGCCACGCTGGCCCCAGATCACGTCGGCGCCATAAATAATTGTCAGAATCGTGATCAGGGCCATTGATTACCCCTGTTTAAGAGGTTTCAGCGAAAAAATTTTCGAGTTTCTTTAGTGGTCATGGACCGGACCATTTTGGATGGCATGCTACAGGGCGGAACTTCTCGATTAAGTATCCTCTCTGGCAGACGAACCGCCAGAAATTTTTCATTTCTTGCCCCTCAACTTCAGTAGGTCTTCATAGAACATCGTGCTAGCTTCGGAGCCACTAAACGAGCATCCTGGATCTTTCTTCACTTTTACCGTCTATGCTTTCGACAAAGAACTCGTTACCACTTGCCCGGAGAAAGGTTTTTGTTTCTCATATCAAAGGTATGAGAGGAGTGCAGTGTATGTGCGTCACTTTTTTGTGTAGTTTTTAATTCTGCGTCTGCATACTAGCAAATGAAAAAGCTTCCTCTCACAACAATGTTTGGAAATGATCCTTGGGGGGGGCTGATAGCACTGAGCTGGAGACATGGCAACATAACACAAAAAGCTCGGGAAAATTTTTCTCGGCGTAACTCTATACGTAGGGGTAATTGATGGTCCTGATCACGGTTCAGATACTTATTTTTGCTGCGGAGGCCATCTGGGGCCAGTATGGCGCTAAATAGCCCCGCCGCGCAGACTGACAATGATGGTAGTACGAGAAAGCCTTTGCACCAAATTAGCGACACATTGCGCCATATTCAAAAATGAGTGTCATGTTCATGAACAGAGCATCGGATAACCGGCCGTTTACCCAATGTTTCATGAAGAGTTTTTTCGATAGTATTTCGCGAGCGTAATAATTGAGTGAGGCCTATGTGAACCGTTCCCGCATGGAATGTGCCTTCAAATGGCGTATATCCGGGTCATACACATTATAGGGCATACAGATACAAGAAGCAAGAAATGTGAAAAATGGTAGCGGCAAGGGGATCCGAACCATAAACCCACCGACCGAGAGTCCGTCGCACTATCCACCACACCATCTGCCACTGCGACACTGGAGATACAGGACCTGTTGAAGAGATAGCGCAGATGACCGGAAAACTCCAATGCAGCTCACCGCATGCCAAGTAGACCATTTGGATTTTGACCTTATTTTGCGCTGTTTTTCATGCCTGCTCAAAGAATACCCTACATACTATAACGCCTGTCAAACGCTACAGCTAGAACAGAGGCAATAAGGTGGTTTAAAAAGCCCATTCTTTTCGAATTGTTTTTGACCTTTTTTTGACATTCCCAGAACC